TGCGTGGTCATGTCCTACAATCGTAGCACGCATTGACGGTAAGCATAGCACACAACATACCGGACAATCCATGAAATCAGCAACATACATGTACATGGTTCATGACTATCATACTAAGCACACATAGTTCATTGCTATCATACTAAGCATACCGGACAACCTATGAGCACGAACATACATCTACAACAAATATCATGCTACAAATGGACCACCAATAGGTACAAATCACAAATCTAAGACGAATCAACACAAGCACAAGGTTCAACTTTAAAGTCTACTACTAATCTAGCCTACCACATGCTTGAACATCTAGCCCTACCATAAATTGCAACCGCAACATAGCAATCAACCATATCAGCTCACAGATCAGACCACTAATCAACCATACATCTAGATCAAACCCTAGCTGCAGCTCAGATCTAGCTAGAAGGAACAGAGAGAAAGGAGGATTGAACTCACAGAGGCCATGGCTGCAGCTTGAGGACGAGGGGCATGGTCGTGGAAGATGAACGCCGGCCGGTGAAGGGGCGCTGACTCCGTGGACCGCCGGCCGATGAAGATGCGCTGCTTACCTGCTCGTCGGTGCCGATGCGTGTCGGTGGGAAAGCTCGAACAGAGGGAGAATGGTGGCGGGAGTTGGGGCGGTGAGGGAGGGGCTAAATAGGGGTGGACTCGGTGGAGGTGAGCTGAAATCCTCCCGCCGATTTTTTAGCGATGCGGGCGAACTCGCGCCATCTCCCCTGCTCGCACGAGGGGAGAAGTGTGTTGCCCTTCCCTGCCTCGCGCGAGCCAGGCTCGCGAGCTACTGCCGATTCGGGTGTTTCCCTTGGGCTTGGCCTGGACGTGCTTTAAGTTTCGTGCGACGCGGGCCGCCTAGTGCACGCAGGAAACCAAACGGATCACTTTCTTCCCGCGCGGGCTAGGCTGGGCCTAATGCGGGCAACCAAACACGCCCTTAGTTCTACTCTTCTACTTACCGGTCAGTTCTTTTGATATTATCCTTGTTTTTCTGATTGAGCATGTTCAATCAGATAGATACCGCTTGAATGAATAAAATGTCCAGAGGGCTGGTTCTCAAAAAAAAAAACGTCCATGTCGGTGGTGATCATATTGCGAAGACGATTTAAAAAAAATGAGATGAGCATGAATTCAGATAGAAACGCAGGTGAAGCGGAAGCTCACGACCACACCCCAAAGAGGGCGCCGGCCGGACGCTGTGGCGGATGCCGCGCCTCGAGCCAAGGAGTCCCCTTTGACACCTACAGCGTGCAGCTTGACTAATCGCAGCTGGGAGCAACGCTTGATGGTGACTAGTCTCGGTGTCCTTTTCGCTGTGCCCTCCAACCGTCGCTGTATGTGTGAGCAACATTTTCTACAGCTCTCAACTGTGGCAGCGTGATCACATGATACTCAATATTTATATGTATGTGATTCTGTCTAGCAATTACTCCCTCCGTTCCAAATTACTCGTCGCTGAAGTAGATGTATTTAGAATTAAAATACATCTACATACATCCATACGTGCGACAAGTAATTCGAAACGGAGGGAGCATATACCAAAGCTCGTCGCAAAGCATCCGGCGTAAAAAAGAGAAAGCTGCGAGCACAATCGCCCCGCCGCCGCTGTAGCAGCAACAGCCCGGCCTGCCGTCGATCTGCTTGCTTCTCATCCACTTTCATTCAAGGTACTACGTACTATGCATTATTTAGTGACTCGATAGTTGGAATTATTACGCACCCGTCCCGCGGTTGCAGTAGCAGCAATCTATAGCGTACATAGTATTAGAAGTTGCGCATAAGTGACTGGTTAACTCGGCAATTTCGTTTATAATGAAGAGAAAGGCTTAAGTTTGTAAATTTAGTACAAAGTTGGGTCATCTATTTTGAAACGAAGGAAGTGCCTCGGTTGTTGAACCCGTGGACAACTATTTATTTCAAAGATGATCCAAACGGGATCGCCCGTGCGGCGGCCACAGCTTCGTGGAAGCTTCTCTCGAACAATCCCATCGACAACGAGTCCCGTTCGCGACCCAAGTCCTGGTGCAGAGACAGAAAAAAACAAATCACAAAGCTACGCGCACACACACAATGCTTTGCGCATGAAGTGTGGTGCGGTGTCCGCGCGCGTGTGGTAGCCGGCCGGTAACTTTGTGGTAGCCGGCCGCGCGTGTGGTGCAGTGTCCTCGACGGGCCGACGCGGCGCGGATTAATTCCACCACTTGCGTCCGGTAGCCGACGCAAAGCATCGCTTTCGTCAGACAGGCAGACTAGTCACACCGTGCAGGCGGCAACCATCGATGGCGATGTGCTCGCATGAAACTCAGTATTTATACGGACGTGATTCTGCCTACCAATTATCAAAGCTCGTCGCAAAGCATCCCGGCCCACGTAAAAAAAAGCAGGCAGGCTTGTCCCGCCGCCGCCGTGGCAGCTGCAACCTCCCGGCACGGCGTCGATCTGCTTAATTCTCACCCACTTGCATGCAAGGTACGTACGTACAACGCGTTATATATGCGCATAACTCTCGTCATCCATGCACGCACGACACCATATTTTGAAGCTGTTCGGTTAGAGTTGGCCGGATTTATTGGGCCCGCCATAGCTCGAGTGTGGCGGAGCTCACAGCGCTCATCTTCAGGGTCGGTCGGGTTGTTTCACAGGCTGGGGCAAGGACGCGGCCGTGGCGTAGAGGCGCTCGTCGAGGCCACCCACGACGATGCATGTTTTCCGGGTCGCGCTGGGGCAAGGACATGTGATGCATGTGACCGCCTGGCGCATGCCATAGGCCATAGCTCAAGTGCGCCGGAGCTCGCAGCGCTCGTCTCCAGGGTCGGGCTGTTGGGGCAAGGACGTGGCCGAGGCGTAGAGGCGCCCGTCGAGGCCACAGCTGACGGCGTCTCCACATGTGATGCATGTCTTCAGGGTCGCGCTGAGGCAAGGCCATGTGATGCATGTGACCGCCTGGCGCCTGCCATAGCTAGAGTGCGCCGGAGCTCGCAGCGCTCGTCTTCGGGGTCGGGCTGTTGCGTAGAGGCGCTCGTCGAGGTAGATGACGACGCGTCCCGGCATGTGATGCAAGTGGGGAAGGGCACGTACCACAGCGAGGTCGTGCTCTAGAGCTACCACACATTCCGCCGGTGTCCATGCACTGCTTTACGCGTCAGCTGGCGTTGTTTACCTCCGCCTCCTCGGTCCTCGCAGACCTCAACCTCCCCTCTTCTTGGTCGTGCGTATCATCTACTCCCTCCGTTCAGAATTACTTGTCTCGGAAATGAGTGTATCTAGAACTAAAATACGTCTAGATACATCCATTTCTGCGACAAGTAATTCCGAACGGAGGGAGTAGCTCCGTGAAAAAGACGTACGGCTCGAGGTGAAATCAATACACGCGACGCACTTCACTATCGGGAAACTACAAAAGCTGGTTTATAGAAAAGCGTTAAATAGGCGAATCAACCTGTGATTGAATGGTTAGGTGGACAGTGGTATTTAGATTCCTCAGGAACATTGTGGGAATCATTTGGTTAGAATTCACCGGCCGTATATATTCAGGCGGAAATATCAACTCTATCCCAAACTGTTTCAGATTCAGTTGAAATCTAGTCCGAAAATTAGGTATACTTTGGTTTCTCGGTTGAAATCTTGTGCGTGCAAGTAAGAAAATGAGAGAGAATATTCTGCACATGGACCCCACCTCCCACCAAATTTGTATCTATTCTTCCATCCGCTTGTCCACACATCCGCCATCTACCATCCAAACAACATCCAGTCCACAATCTTCATCTCCGTCGAGGCACTAGCCCACGCAGAGTCTGTCCCTCCCAGCCTGCACTTGTTCTAGAGGACATGATGCAGCCGGAGAGGTTGAAGACGCCGGCCGTCGCCGTTGCTGCGCAGGCGAGTCGGCTGTCCGTCCCCCGTCAGTCTCCCGGTACGCCCCGAAGACATGGTCGGACGGCACCACGACTCGACGTTGTGCCGTATCGATTCCGTGCACCCGGAGGCGCGGATCAACGTTACAAAGACGAATTGCTCGCCTGGGACAGCAGCCTTCCTCTCTCCAACTACTACTGGTTCGGTCTCCACCTTCAAAGTCCTCTGCTCATGCACACGTTCCTCTCCAGCTAATTTACTTCCTCTCTTTTGTAAGAGTTTTTCTATAGCATACTAGTACTCCCTCTGTAAAGAAATATAAGAGCATTTAGATCATCAAAGTAGTGATCTAAACACTCTTATATTTCTTTACGGAGGGAGTATGATCTAAGTGCGATGCAACACAACCTGCATTGAATAGCCCCCTAGAGCTGCAGATGAGGTACTATGGTGTTGCATTAGTAATAGCAGCTGCGGGCTACCACCAATTTATCATCATTCTAGTCAATTTCACGGGGGAAAACCAAACCCCACCTGAATCATTTTTCCCTTATTCGGAGTACAACATAATAATAAACAGAGGGACCAGAGCAGGCCACAGAGAGGATAACATGGAAGAGAGTACATAATTTCATCCTTACCTGTATCATATCATGTATGGGATACATAATCCGGTACATGATCCTTAATCTAATTACCTGTATCATGTAATGGAAGAGAGTACATCATTTCATCCTTACCTATCATGTATGAGTACAAAAATGCATCTCTCTCTCTCTCTCTCTCTCTCTCTCTCTCCCTCCCTCTCTCTCTAATAATGCTATGTATAGCCATCTTTGGACAAATTAAAGAGGGAGTAATAGCGGAAATCCATTTTCAAATTTATTTACTACTCCCTCCGTCCCATAATGGGACGGAGGGAGTATTTATTTTGATTTTACTGTTAATTAGGGAGCATATGCACTCCAGAGCCAAAAATCCATTTTAGCTACTCATAAATAGTGGAAATCCATTTAGGCTACTCATAAATAAGTATGTGCACGCTGGCAGGTTGATCCACCCTCGGCACGAACCTCTTCACGTGCTACCCTGTCGCTGGGAGGAACTCCTGCTAGTCAACAATAAGGATGGCGGCCCCGCTGATCTTTCAACACCGGCCGCCGTTCAGCTGCAGCAGCCGTCCTGCGGTGACACTCCCTACTGACTACAACGAACAAGGCATAGTCGACAACCTTACAGAAAATAATCAGAGAAACATGTGGGCTAGTAGAAGGATAGAGGAGGACGAAAAAGTGTACCTAGTTCACGTCCAGGACACTGCTGGCATCGGTCTCCCAACTACACTGGTCGTTAAGAAGTTTCAGAATGTGCACCGCTGTAGGTCCGAGATGCTCAAGCTAGCCACTGTCCGTCATGAAAACATCATCAGTGTCCTACATGTCATCGAGAGGGATGAAGCCAGCATGCTCATATACAAGTACGAGGTGAATGGCAGCCTTGACTACTGGCTGCATCGGCGGGAGGGGGCCGGTCGTCCGCTAAGCTGGCCGGAGAGGAGGGACATTGCCATCGGTGTTGCCAAAGGGCTCCGGCACTTGCACCACGGATGCAACAACCAGTTTGTCCACCACAACATCAACCCTAACAACATCTTGCTTGATCAGGAGTTGAATGCCAAGATCGCAAGTTTTGGTGCTGCGCAGGTGAACTTGGCTGGGCACGGCCAACCATTGCCGATCCTGCAGTTTCCAATTGGCAACTTTGGCTATGCAGCTCCAGGTATATATATATATATATATGCGCGCAATGAAAAATTATGTCCTATAAGTAGCATGATCTTTTAACTAGCGCCTGATAGCAACTGCTTACTTGCAGAATATGGCATCGCACCAAGCCAACTGACGGAGAAGGTAGACGTTTACAGCTTCGGTGTGGTGCTGCTGGAGCTCGTCACAGGGCGAGTAGCCAATGGAGCTGGACCTGGTGGTCAGTTGGCGATTTGGGCACGGAACAGCTGCAACGATCTGATGGCAAACCATCTGAAAAGGTTCAAGACAGAAGTGGACATGGAAATCCCAGATCAAGCGCGATACATGAAGGAGATGGCGACTGTGTTCAGGCTGGGAGTGGATTGCACCGTTTGGGATCCGCAGCAAAGGCCATCCATGCGGATGGCTCTCAAACAACTCCGTCTCAGCCGTCGGTATGGCCCATTCCGTGGACTGCTCACCCGGTATCTGCTGTGAGGTCAATGTTCTCGTTGCTTAGTTTTTCAGTTCTTACTTTGCACAGCAAATAAGTCGTCAGACTCAGGACAGGTTCATCTGAGACGACACATAGTGTGGCCCGTACATGGTGGGTGGCATAGTGTTGGGGCACGTCCAAGTTGCTTGGTCATAGCGTCAGAATATGTTGTTTTCTGTTACACTTAAAAGAAGGTAAAAGAGAAAAGCTGCAAGCTTCACGCAGCGCCAAAATTATGTGTGCTCATGGTGTGTGTTTCCAACGTTCATGTTGTGTTCTCCTAGCTTCCGTGGCAACACAAGTGCTCATTGGAACGGAGGGAGTAGAACGGCATCTGTATGAGCATAGTTCAGGTTAAAAGGACCACATATTTCGCAACGCACCAATCACAGCCTGCACTATCAGCAACCAAGCCTAGTTATCTGGATCAGATAACTTCCATAATGGTTGGAATTGTTTGCATTTTAGTTGAGATTTTTTGAGTTGATTAATCAATACTCATAGAGTCAATAAATAGTTTGTGATCAAAACCAGATCACGTGCTCCTTTCGATATATAATGTGTATTTAAATTTCCCTATTGTGACATTAGGAACTGAGAATCGACCGATTCAGCGTGCGTGAACTAGAGAAGTTCATCTTGCAATAATGTGTTAGGCTCGTAGAATTATCAAAGCAACATCTTACTACGATGCCGTACGTATCATTTTCTACTTTATTCGTCCAGGTGTCAGATTTGCAAACAGATTCTCCAGGTTTTCTTAGACGAACAGATTCTCAAGGTGAATACACATACCCAATAAGCTCAGCCCTGGGCCTTGGCTTAATATCTGCCGTCGCTCTTACGACCCCCCGGTCTTATAAATACAGTTGCTGGTTGCAACTGTTGTAACAAGAGGCATGCGGTTCCCTCACACACTGGTGGAGTGCACCTCCGATTTTGTTTATCATGTCCGGTAATATTTTGTTCGACGGGTTTATTGCAGGTCATATGTTTGAAGAATTCGGCATACCATTGTATTAAACTCAAATTCACAATTATTAAGTTTTGAACATTGTATTTAGTATGTTGGCCCAACACTTAGCATTACATTTTGCTGAAAACAGTGGTACAAGAAATGGCCCTAATATTTTTCTGCAATGTATTGGACTACGGTCCCTTTTTCATGCTCATGATCATGTTGAGTTTTTGACTGTCATTTTGTTTCTTGATTTCATTCATGTTGGAATAGTTAATTAGCAAGATTGTATATGGTTAATTCCCTATATCTGCAACCTTATTAAAATCCATAAAAGTTATCTAGGAGTTTGCACATTGGGTTTAGGAAGAGGCCTTTTATATATTATTTCGAAGGATCACATCATGATCAAATGGCCCATATGATGTCATGGTTAAGTAAATAAGTTTATAGATGGATCTCAAGTACAGGCAACAATGAGGGCCGCTCTGCCTTTCTTTTTCTGAACATTTTACTGTCCTGTTGATGAATGCTACTCCCTCCATAAACTAATATAAGAGCGTTTGGAATACTAAAGTAGTGATCTAAACGCTCTTATATTAGTTTACAGAGGGAGTAGTTGTGATATATCAAGTCTGCAGAATTCTGCTTCCTGTTCTGCTTCTCTGGGTACAAAAAAAAATTGGTAGTTGGTCAATTAGTGTTTGACAAAACATCATCCTGGGGATCGTTACATTCTGCAGGTCACATTTGTAACTGTGTTCGTTCTCATGCTGACTGGAGCTGTGCTGAACGAACCAAACAGGTCAGGAGAACCTGTGACCGACGCATCTCCATGGGCCAACCTGTGATCCTGCCGCAGAGAGAACCAGTGTTTGTCTGTGGCGACACCTACAAACAGCAGTGGTTTCCATGATCACGGCATATCGAAGCCATTTCGAGGGTCACTATGAACGCTTCATTTGGTTTCTATAGGCTTGCAGGTTGGAACAATAGCGGTCACCGGTGCTGTTAGTTAGGTTCAGACTTTGTGTTTTCATTTCCTTATCACAGGTGGTCTTTTCTTTGTAGAGAATGATGGTGGCATGCTTGACTCATCACTATATATGGAGATTGTAAATGAGCTAGATGATATAGTTGAAGATGATATCTTGCCTGCTTGTAATTAGTTTGAGCAACCAAACGCATCCAAGGGTTCATGCTTGTAAATTAGTTTGATACCCAAATGTTGTCGGCAAACGACAAACGAATAATGAACCTTTCCAATTTGTGTGCCTTCTTCCAAAATAGTAGATGATGTTCTTCCAGTTAAGACATTTGAACCATGCTATATTTGGTGGTCGTGTGCAGATTTATTTTGCAATGGTTGTTCATATTCATGATAGGTACAAAGATTAAATTACTGAAATCTTTTTACTTAATAAAGAGGTTGTTACTTCTGGTGGTACGTCATCGAAATTGCCCTCAAAATTGCAAAATATTACCCACCAATGCCACATATAAGTAACGAAAAAATGTTTCACACAGAGGAATCCAACTGGGTCGGCCCATGTAGGAACCTTCTATACTGTGCTCTGCATACTGTTTGAAGACACAATGCGCCTGTTTGGGCCGGCCCATGTCCGGGTGGCCTGTTTTAAAAGTTTGGTTTTTTCCTATTTTTTTTCATTTTCCTTTTCCGTCTTCATTTTTTTCTAATTTCAATAGTTTTGGACTTCAAAAATGTTCCAAAAATAAAAAAAACGAATATTGAAATTAGTTTTCTAATAATTCATAAATGTTTGTAGAGTGCAAAAATGTTCATGATTTGTAAAAAATTCTCTCATATTCAAAAAATGTTCACAATTTAGGGGTAAAAATTGGATATCAAAAAAGGCTCACGGTTTTTACAAAAAGTTTGTACATGTTAATGAAATTGTACAAATGTTTTCCAATTCCAAATATGTTCATAATTAAAAAATATCCAAAAAATAGAAAACTGCTCATGACTTATAAAATAGTTTATTGATTCATATAATGTTCACTGATTCAAAAAAGATCATGCATTTCAGAAAAAATGTTTGTCAGATCCTAAAAATGTTCATGAATTTCTAAATTTGTTCTACCAAATGTTTTTCAAAAAAAGTTCATCTATTCTAGAAATGTTTGCCTATTCATGAAAAATGTTTTAAAAAATGTTCACAATTTTTGTTTTTATTTTGCAAATACGATAAAATGTTTATGAATCCAAAAAATATTCATGATTTTATAAATCTGTAAAGTTGTTCACAATTTCAGATATGTTCACGAGTTAAAAAAAATATTCGTGATTTACAAAAATTGTTCAGGATTTCACAAAAATGACCGTGATAGTGTATCTCGGTGATGCTGCAAAATGTAGTCTTGGACATTGGAGATTATGATTTTTTTTCCTCCAGTTGCAACACACGGGCTGTTTTGCTAGTGATGTTAAAGTACTCAAATTACAGAAAGGATACAAGGATCTAATTAATGGCATGACAAGTTAGCCGGTGAAGAAGAGGGTAGCGGGGGAAGTGATGACATGAAATTAGTTGAGGGGAAACATAGATGAAGGGGAGAGGAACGTGTGCATGAAAGGAAACTTACTGTAGATCACTGGCGGTTGAGATAGAGAGGCAACGGATGGAGTGCATGGGAGTTGTAAGCGGTTAGGTTTTTGAATCCGGAATGACGAAGGGCGAATCATGGACTCATTATCGTCCGACCTTGTCTTGGGACCGTACTGGCACACCTGTGGTCGGCCGCCCTCTTGTCCCCGTCCCAACTCACCTGCGCAACAACCACAACGAAGGAGAGTGTCTCCCACCTCTCAAGCTGCATCATCTCCTCCGTATCCAGGTCTTGAGCGGGCAATCTTCTCGTCGAGCCCAACGCTGGCATATGAGACGAGGGAGGAGAAGTAAGAAAAAAAAGGGATTCATGGATACTAGCACTCAGGACATATATTTATAGAAGAAGCCCACCAAGATGAGATCGCAAAAATTTGCTCCCGACCGGAGTCGACCCCGGCCTGCAAGGTAGCACCACTGCATCCTTGCCACTTCGTTGCTGCCTAGTTTGCAGGAGAAGGAAGAAGGAAGGGTTTCAACCCGCTAGGGTAAAAACCCTCGGATCCAGAGGTGGCTAGGGTTCCTCCCGCCTTCTGTCGGTGTCGGAACCGGTCTACCTTGTTTCCTGTGGCCTTAGGGCCATGGAGGCATGGTGGATCTCAGACCTTGCCGGTGGGAGGGCTACGTTTTTTTAATGTTTTTTCAGCTAATTTAGGGTTTGTGTCCTGCTCAGAGAGATGAGGCGCCGGCGGCTCTCTGAAGATGGAACAAAATTCACCCCGCCCAGGCCTCATCTCGGTGGTGCTTCTAGCGTCATCGGAGGGCGCATGTGAAGATTAGTCTCCGGCGGATCTCGGGAGACTCAATCGGCGTTTGTCTTTGATGGATCCACGTAGATCCGGTCTTTGTTCGTGTGTCTGCAGGTTGGATCCTTCTGATCTAAACTTCACTTTTTTTTGCGAAATATATAAACTTCTCTTCAACGATGGCGGTTATTGTTCTGGTGCACTGGTCCTACAGGGACTTAGCACGACGACTTCCCGACTGTCTACTAAAACAGGTTTTGCCTGGCTCGAGAGAAGGAGGGTTGATGACGGCGGCATGCCTTCGGCTCGCTTCAGTGCTTGTAGGTGTCGCTAGGTAGTCTATGGATCTAAATGTAATTTTTATTATTTCTGTCATTCGTTGCAGTATCATGATTGATGATGAATACATTAAAAGTTTTCTTGCAAAAAGAGGCATGAAAAAAGACCACACCACGGAGTAGGAGTGGTTTTGCTTCAAGATGCGACTGGTCTTTGAGTCGGCTCTCTTTTTTGAATTGAAGAAAAGAAAAATGAAATCCATTTAGGCACAAACAAAACCATGTCAGCTTTGAGAAAGTAGGCGAAATCACTAATTGTCGTAACCTGGAAATTATCACTTTTTTATAGATCCATTTATTCAAAATATTTTATCTCTTAAATCGTGTGTC